TCCTTTTCCGTATCTGTGTAAGCAAGAAATTTTCAAAGAGACAATCCATTGAACAGTAAAATTATTCTAAGCTTTTTGTTTGAAATATGTATACATGCTAATTGAGTTCGGCAAGTATGGAATGTAGCTGTTTGGGGATATTTGAGAGCATATTCTAACTTCTTACTCTGAAGATGGCTTATCTGATGTATTTTATAAGAAACATATGCATGTTATGTAACACGGTACACATTATAATGTGCAGTTTGCCAGGAGAGCACTTAACAAAAACAAGGACTTTCAAAGACTGGCTTTTCTCGAGGGAGGCCTGGTGGTGCTGTAGAGTAATTGTTGGGCTGCTAATAACAAGGTTGGCTCAAACCCATCAGCCACTCACAGGAGAAAGATGAGGTTGTATGCTTCCATAAAGATTTACAATTCTACACCTTGCCGTCAAAGGCCACAGTGAGTCAGAATGGACTCAAAAGGAGTGGGAGGTCTGGTTTTTCTCGACATAGATTGCCAGGCATTTCTTCTGAGTTACCTTGGGATATACTCTAATTTTCAACTTTCAGTTAGCATACTCAGGGACTCCGTACTTAAAAAAATTGCTGTTAGCATCTTCAATTCACCTACCCCCTTATGACGAAACCCATGCTCAACAGAACTAATCATCTGCATGATCTCTTGTGGATCAGACTGTTGTGGGTATTCACTGGTTGGTTTTTTGGTAGTAGACCAGGCTTTTCTTCCTAGTCTGACTGCGTTTGGAAGCTCCACTGAAACCTGTTCAGAATCAAAGCAGTATGCAGACTTCCTCTGACAGAGTTAGGTAGTGGCTCTGTATGAGGTATATTGACTGGGAATCACACAGAGGCAAGAATTCTACCATTGAACTACCAATGACTCTACATAAAGAATTAGGCTGGTCATATTAAAATCTAGTAAAACAAAATAGGATGTGTTTATGAATTTGTATTATGCTTTCTCAAACTCAAATGTAGTTATTAAACAGCTCCTTTTCCTATATGTGCAGTATCATCTTTACAGTTCCAGTCTGCTCCAATGGATGTCCATGTGTTGTTGTTAAGTGTCATCGAGTCAGTTTTGACCCATAGTGACCCTGTATAATTTGAACCTCCGACCTTGGGGTTCAAACCAACTTTGCAGTCCAGCACATTAACCTATAACGCCACCCCAGGGTGTAAATAGGAGTGTTTTAGCATGGATTTCTGTGAACTTTTCACAGATAAGCTACATATTTTATATATCACCCTGAGGTATAAAACTTACCCCATTCATTTTTACTTTTTATTTGAGAGAAATTTGTGTAGTTTCGGAAACAAGAATATATCATTGTCTTTGGCTTTTAAAATAACTAGTCTAATTTAAAATATTTCTTGTTTTATTCTTGTCTAGTTTTGGTATCAAGGTTATGTTGTTAGTTGCTGTTAAGTGATTCACCTCACAGGTGCAGCGTGGAATTGCTTTCATTTTGATAATTTTAATACCCCTAAAAATAATACAGGCAATTGACATTAACTAAACAATATCATGCTGTTTTGAAGAATCAGTGTCCATTTCCTCTATTAATCAGATGAGTTTTGGAGACCATCATAATTGGTTGGTAAATTTCATACTCAATAACTACAAAATTTCCTTCTTATTACCAGATCCTAGAACCCTATCGATATTGTCTCTGCTGTGTAAATAGCTCTGAGTAGTGCAATATTGCTTATAGGGTTTTAGTGTTTGGGAAGAGCAATGGGCAGACTACAGAAACTGTGTAGCTAAAGTTGAAATAAAAGAGTATCTTTGCTTAAAAGAATACAAATAGTAAAACCTAGTTTTCACTAAACATGTTGAAATCTCAGGCTCAAACGTGAAACTTTAATTTTTTTGTTGTTGTTAAGTGCTGTTAAGTTGGTTCCAACCCATAGCGACCCTATATAGGATTTCCGAGAAGCAGCTGGTGAGCTTGAACTGCCAACTTAGCAGTTCAAATGGCTTTGCAGTCTGGCGCATTAGAAGGCAACAATTATCTTTTTCAAGTTTGATAAGCTAAACTTAGTTTATTTGTAGTTTAATGAAATGATGAAATTTCAGTGTTGAAAGGAGCCTTAGATTCCAACCCTTCTCATTTAATAGGATAAACTCAAAGAAATTAGGGGCTTCCCTAAGGCCATAGAGCTTGGTTAGTGATACATACCAGGGCTAGAACCCAAGTACTCAAGTTCCTTTTATGTATTTATTTGTTTTTCTATCAAGCTGTGTTTACAAGGAATTTTTAGTTGACTAACTGGTAGTGTAGTGGTTATGAGTCGGGCTGCTAACATCAAGGGTAGCAGTTCGAAACTACCAGCAGTTACACAGGAAAAAGATGAGGCTTTCTTCTCCCGTAAAGATTTATAGCCTCGGAAACCCTTTGCAGGGTCACTATGAATTGGAACCGACTCCACGGCACAGCAACAACAACAACTTTACAGTTTAGTTATAATTAGACATAAAACTTCAGTGAAAACTCATTTTAGGTAAAGTATTTACTTTTTAAATTCCATCCATATGACTGTTGGAAGCTCTGGAGTGGCACTGTAGGATAAGCACTGGATTGCTCATTGCAAGGTCAGCTCTTCAAACTCCTCAGAAATCCTATACAGGGTCACTATAAGTTGGAATTGATTCAAAGGCACTTAACAGCAACATATGACAGTTACTGACTTTGATATCATTTATTTATATTAGGTACTGTGAGTCGACTTTTGACTAATTGTGACCCCATATGACCCAGCAGAACTGCCCCATAAGAGTTTTCTTGGCTATAATCTTTGTGAAAACAGATAGCCAGGTCTTTCTCCAGTAGAGTTGCTGGTGGGTTCAAACCACCAGACTTTAGGTCAGTGGTGGAGTGTTTAGCCATTTGCCACCAGGGCTTCTTGTTATTTATAACTTCTAACTATGTAACAAACTTGGAGTGATGAAACTACAACTGTTGTTAAGTGCCATGGATTTGGTCCCAACTCATACTGATCCTGTATAGGGTTTCCAAGGAGCAGCTGATGGGTTTGAATCACTGACCTTGTGGCTAGCCGTCCAGTGCTTATCCTAAGTGCTGTATCGGTAGAATTAGAGGCAAGTAATTTAGCCTACCTCCTCATTTACAGGATTCAGATCAGAGAATCATAAGATTGTTTTTCTATTTCTAGCTATTGAATTATATCCTTTGTTTTTCTTTTTTGTTACCTGCTTATTCCCTAGTCAGTTTCCCTGGTGTGAAAATTTATACTATATATTAGCACATCTATGATATATTCTACTGTACACATTCCACTGTACACTGTAGACATAAAATAGTTAACATATGGTGATTTTTGTGTATGATCTTTGTTGAGGGTCTCTTGGTGATGCAAATGGATTTAGTTTGACTACTCATTGAAAGCTCAGCAGTTTGAGCCCACTGGCTACTCTGCGGGAACAGTCATGGAAAAATGAAATGAAATGAAGCAGTCATGGAAAAATGGAGTTAAAAGAGAATGGAATTTTTCCATGAACTTTTTGAAATTCCTTCAATATAGACAAAATATGTATTAATTGACTGCTTATATTATCAGTAAGAGTCCCGATCAACAGTAGATTACTAGTTGTTAAATATTTGATGGTCAGATGTTATACACCGATCTTTGACTGTGTTGGGGTATTGGTACCCCAACTCTCATGTTGTTCAAGGGTCAGCTGTATGTACTATAAGATCATTAAGAATATACCCACTCTCCTCTTACTGTCATGGTTAGGTTCCAAAGACCAGTTAATTAATTATTCAAAAATCAGTGTTGTCAAAAAACAGATGACTACATCATCACAAAATGGAAGACGATTACATCATTACATAACTGACCAATTACATTATTACATACTTGCCAAACCACTGAGCAACATGACTTAGCCAAGCTGACACATAACCTTAACCATCACAGCCAGTGTTTCTGTCATTTCATGTCTGCATTCGTTACTGCAAACAGATGTTACATTATTAATGTGCAAAATAGTCAATAGTAGATTTTTTTTACTATTGTAAATGTGAAATGGTGGATGATAAGCTAATTGATAGGTGAGAGCTTCGGGAAGCATGGTGGCTCTGTAGGATAAGCACTGGACTGTGAACCATGAGGTCAGCAGTACAAGCTCACCAGTAACTCCACAGGAGAAAGATGAGGCTATCTGCTCCGGCAAAGATATACAGTCCCAGAAACCCTATAGAAGGCTGCTGTCCTTCGGGACCAACTACTTATTAATTGTTGTTGTTCAGTGCTGTTGAGTCAGTTCTGACCCATAGTAACCCTGTATAGGGTTTCCGTGGAGTGGAAACCCACCTGGTGGTTCAAACTAACTTTGCAGTCCAGTGCATAAACCCTTAGTGCCACACCAGGATTCTACTTATTAACTGTACTGCAGAAGTCTATGTAGTAAGAAGTACAAGCTCTCCCCACCATAGTTGTTCATCTTTGTATGCTGTCATTTTCAGCACTTTGCACTGTATTCCAAAAATTGATTTTACATATAACTTTTTACTCCATTTATCCTATATCCTTGATGGCTTATGGAAGTTCTTCCTTTTTTCTTTCCGTTTGTAAAGGTCTACTGATCAAGGTCCCTTGCTGAGACCCAGGTTCAACACGTTGGGGTCATTTAGACTACGATTCCTGTATTACATGTAGTTGTTTTTTTGTTTTGTGTAATTTGTGACTAATCCTCTCATTTTGGACTCGAGCATATATCTGTATCTTTTTGGGTAGTGATACTGTAAATAATGGTAATAGTGAGTAGCCTTGAAAATCAATGTGTTCTGTGTCGAATTGAATGAAACCATATTTATTGCCAAAGGTATTTAATAAAACACTGTTTAACTGTATGGAATTCTTGAAATCATTAAAGTAAAAAAAGACAAAATGGGAAAAGAAAGAATAGTCAAAGTATTATTAATATGTCTGTGGATTCACAAAATAATGTTTTGTGGTGGTCTTTAGTTCCAGAAAGCTGATTCTGATCTGGATTGCATTCTGTACAGGCTGGAATATGAAATCAAGAACAATCATCCTGATTCAGCTGGAGAGGTAATCTGCTTTCTTAAGATGGTATCTCTAATAGTATTAGACAGCAAATATATTGTTAAGTATTAGTTTATTGAATGTTAAAATCTTGGTGTATTAGAAGCTTGGTTGCAACGTGGAGAAATTTGTGGGTGCTTTTTTTTTTTTTTTTTTAACTTAAAATGAGAATCATTGAGTCTAGAGGTACAAACCACTATGGAAGCCTGTAAAATTCTAAATGAATATAGACACTTCTAGGGAAGTGGAGGACTCATGGTGTCCTGCTGTGGGATCAGCACTGGACTGCAAACCACAAGGTCGGCAGTTCAAACCCATCAGCTGTTACTTGGAAACCCTACACAGGGTCGCTATGAGTCAGAATTGACTTGATGGCATTTACAACAACGGGGAAGTGGAAGAATCCTGGTGTGGCACTGTAAGATAAACACTGGACTACCAGTCACAGGGTCAGCAGTTCAAACCCACTAGCCACTACTTGGAAACCCTTATCAGGATTGCTTATGAGTCAGAATCTACTCGACAGCATATAACAATAACAACAGGGAGTAGAAAGGTACTTAATGGTAGAGTGGTTACTAATCACTTTCCATATGGCCAATAACAAGATGGTTCATAGACCTACCAATTGCTCTGTGGGAGAAAGGTATGGCAGTCTGCTTCTGTAAAAATTTACAGCATTGGCAAGTCTATGAGGCAGTTCCACACTGTTCTATAGGGTTCCTGTAAGTTGGAATCGAGTCTACAGCAATGGGTTTTGGTTTGTTTTTAGGAGCATAATGGTTACAAATTAGACTGCTAATCTCACTGTCAGAAGTTCAAAACAACCAGCTGTTCCGCGGGAGAAGGATGAGGCTTTCTGCTCCTGTAAACATTTACAGACTCGGAAACCCTGTACAGGGTCGCTGTGAGTCGGAACCGACTCCACGGCACATAACAACAACAACTGGTAGCATAGTGGTTACATATCAGAAAGCCTCATCTTTCTCCGCGGAACAGCTGGTAGTTTCGAACTGCTGATCGTGAGATTAGCAGCCCGATTCGTAACCACTACACTACCAGAGCTCCTTTTTATATTATATATGTATAGCTTAATCTTTAAAAAAAAAAAAAATTGAAAACATCTTTAGATTGAGTAAAAGTATGAAACAAAGTAAAATTGAGGAAACATTATGAATTTCAGTTTTTACTGTTTATTTTATGGAATACTAGAATTCTAAGGCAGTATACTTTGAACTGTTTTAGCTCCTTATTGACTTGACTTTTCCCCTTTTTTTCTGTCTGATATCACCAATTATGGTCCAGTGATATCACTAATGGTTGGCCAAGGGACTCCTACTTGGAGGATCTTCTCATATGGTGCTTCCACTTTTCCTTTACCTTCTACCGCTCATATTGGTCCCACCCGCAATCAGTTTTCTCTTCCACAACTTTTTATTTTTAAAATAGATAATTGTATAATTTCCATGCCATAGAATATTCACTCTCTTCAGTAACTTCTCATATCCTTGTAACATTTATCCATTAACTTCAAGAAAATCTTTCTCCCTTTTTGTGTTTTATATTGGGTACATTATCTCAATCTTTGTAGATTTGTCCAATGTCAGTCCTAATGATTATACAGCTTGTATATCAAGGAACATGAACCCAACAACCAGTTGCAGTAACCATTAAACTTTTACATGGTGGTAATGGTGGTAAGCATTCATAGAGCATTACTATATGCCAAGCACTGTAATGTGTGTGTAACACATCTATATGCATATGTAGTGTTATTTAGCTCCATTATCCTCATTCTAATTCCATTAGTGATTTAGAGACTGGCAGTGATTAGGCATAAAATAAACTACAAGTTCATATTACCATGCTCTTTTCCTTTATATGTTTCAGAAATATAATTTTGTTTTATGATCATTTTTCTTGCTGATAGCATATTTCCTTTTGTTTCTTCCAAAAGACTTAATTAAATTGAGCTTTTTGTTAAGGAGTATTGACTTTTCCTTCACCACCAGTACTATCATTAGCAGAACATTTAGGATCTTTTTCATTCACTTAAGATAAATCAGAGCCACAAAGTGAATTAAGGTGTTTTAGGCACAGAATTAAGCAAAGTATAGCACAATTTATGAATACCAATAAAAGAATACAGTGACTTCTAAGGAGCCAGTCATTTGAACAAATCAGTATTTTTCTAGGCTATGTGTATAATCAATTTTTCCTCTGTGGTATGGTATTAAGGCCTGACCACAATATAGTCAGTTGGGTTGTGTAATGCAAATTATTGTATCATGAAACCACCATTTCCATATCAACCTCATTGTTGTGGTTAAGTGCTGTTGAGTTAATTCCTACTCATGGTGACCTTAGGTACAACAGAACACAACTTTGCCTTGTCCTACACCATCCTCACAGTTGTTGTTGCTTGAGCTCTTTGTTGTAGCCCCTATGTCTGTCCATCTTCTTGAGGGTCTTCCTGTTTTCCTCTGATCCTCCACTTTACCAAGCATTACGTTCTTCTCCAGAGATTGGTCCCTGCTTACAACATGTCCAAAGAACGAGAGATGAAGTCTTGCCATCCTTGTGTCTAAGCATTCTGCCTGTATTTCTTCCAACATAGATTTGTTTGTTCTTCCATGGTACTTCCAATATTTTTCATCAACCTTATTGTTGTTAAGTATCACTGAGTCTGTTTCAATTCATAGTACCCTGTATGTGGTTTCTGAAGAGTGCTGGTAGGTTTGACCTTGCAGTTGGCAGCCTGACGCTTATCCTACAGGGACATACCAGGACCCCATCAACTTTATCAGGTTCAGTTAATGTCATAAAAACATGTAGTGTGGTTTATACTATACTCTTTTATCCTAACATTTTTTTTTTTTTTTTTTAAAGCTCACTTGCTATTTATTCCTTATGCTAGATTCATCAAGCACTGGGCTGCTAACCACAAGGTCAGTGCTTCAAACCCACCAGTGGCTCCTTGGAAACTCTATACAGGGCCACTATGAGTTGGAGCTAACTTGACAGCACTTGGCATCAACAACAACATTAAGGATTAGTTGTTGCTTCCTTTTTCTCCACTACAGATTTTTTTTTTTTTATTATTAAATGTTTTTATTGTGGATTGAGTGAAAGTTTACAGGGCACATCATCAGCTTCACATTCAACCATTCATATAGCTTGTTTCATTACATTGATTATTATGCCCTCCACATATCATCAGTTAACAGTGTTTCTCTCTATCCTCTTTAGCTCTTTTTTTGGGGGGAGGGGCGTGGGGGGGAACTTGCCTTTTTGGAATTTACAGTCTCGGCTTTTAGGGAAGGTTTTTACATTTGTCTGTGGATATCCAGGGCTCATGTATGAGATTACTAACAAGCATTACTGAATAATCAGATGAGGGACAGTTTGCTATGTCTACTAGGTGGCTAAAGTCTGATCCTCAGAGCCTATGGTTTGGACGGTCAACAATGCTTGGGCCCACAGGGTCTTGACCTCCTGACCTGGTCTGCACGGTCTGCATCAGATTCCCCTTTATTTATTGTGTGTTTAAGGGACGCTGCCTGTCTTAGGCGGTCAGTGCGAATTCCTCAGTCTTACCCATCATCGTCCACTACAGATATGTATGTGGGAAATGCATCTGTCTCAGGGCACTTCACTAGTGATCTTTTAGTCCAGTTATCTAAAGGTCATTTATACTAATATGATTTATTGTCACTGTACATTTGATGTTTTCTTCTCTCTCCAATTTTCCTTCCAATTTTAATTTTTTTATCAAAGTAATTTACACAATTTGAAAAGTTCATGTAACTATGAAGCTTATAATTACAACCAGTAAGTCTTTGCTTTATACTTTCCCACCTCCAAGACAGCCACCATTTTATTTCAGCTTGTGTTGTTGTTATTATGTGCTGTGGAGTCAGTTCTGACTCGTAGCCACCCAATACAGGGTTTCTGAGGCTGTAAATCTTTACGGGAATAGAAAACCTTATCTTTCTCCCACAGAACAGCTGGTAGTTTCGAACAGCTGACCTTGCAGTTCTCAGCCTGATTCGTAATTACTACGCTACCAGAGCTCCTTATTTCAGCTTGTACATACCTCTATATTTCTAAATAGCAACTTTTTTCTTTTCTTTGATCTGGAGTATATTGATTTCCTGAAAATAGGCTGTTCTCGTTCAAATCCCACTTCTGCTTTTTACTACTAATTGATCTTAGGGAAGTCAGTTAGCCTTTTGTCCTTTAGTTTCCTCATTTGTTACATTGGGATATTACTATCTATTTCACAGTTTGAGAGAGGATAAAATTAGTTAATGTATGTAATGTGCTTCTGGTGGTGCAAACATTTTTCAATCTGCTGCTGACCTCTAAAAAGGGTTGGTAGTTTGAGCCCACCAGCAACTCTGTGGAAGAAAGGCCTGGAAAACTGCTTTCATAAAGATTACAGCCAAGCAAACCCTGTGGAGTAGTTATACTTTGCAACACATGGAATTTGCATCTATACGATCCCCATGATACTGTGTGTATCCGTTTCCTAGGGCTGTTGTAAGACAATACCATAATCTGGGTTGTTTAAAATGGCAGAAATTTATTCTTTCACAGTTTTGGAGTCTAGAAATCCAAAATCAAGTTGTCAGTGAGAACCCTCTGAAGGTTTTGGGGAAGAATCTGTTCCATGGCCCTCTCCTAGCTTCTGGAAGTTGTTGCAATCCTTGGCATTTCTTGGCTTGTGAAGTTGTTACTCCAGTCTCTGGATTCATGTTCTGTTCTCTCTTTATGTGTCTGTGCCTAAATTTCCCATTTTTAAGGACACCAATCATTGGATTAGGATCCACCTTTTTCTAGTATGACCTCATCTTAACTTGATTCCTCCTGCAAAGACTCTTTCCAAATATGGTTATGTTCACAGGTACCAGGGACTAGGACTTCAACATATCGTTTCAGGGGACACAATTCAACCCACAACAGTATGTTTAAGAATTTTCTAAGTACTTTCAACTTCTTTGTAT